ACACAAACCAAGGGAATGCTGAACTCTGGCTACACAGCATATGCCATGGAAGACTTCAAGCTTCCTCGTTGGAGAAAAAGTTTCTTCATTGTGCTGAGGTTATTGTCAAATCTGGCTGTTGGATTCAAAGTCACAGTTAATTGGGACAGTTTTAGCTTCTGGGCTTATTAAAGCTCTGTAGAATGGGTGTTGCAGAGAGAGCTTTTTCCAGTGTTCCTCTACAACTCACCTCTGAGGCACTTTCCTCACTTGTAGAGCTCTGCTTTCCCCTTTACATTTTGAAGAGGTCAAAACCGGCACAACTGCCCCATTTCCCCTGCTAGTTTAATGCAGTTCTGCTCCTGCTCTCTGTCCTCCTTGGACACTGAGTCATTTTATAGATGCTTTTAAAAGCCACTAATAAAACAGTAAGGATGTGGATCCAATTAAGCAATTCCTATCCCATCTTGATATTTATAGGTTAGTGAAACCTAATGAATGTGTTTATCCATTAAAAACCCACCTCTGACTCTCAGCTGAGAGCTGAAGAGCTGCTAAGTTAGTGTGGCTGAGCTGTGTTTACTTGGATGAAGGTCCTGTCACCCCCTAGTTGTCACAGACCCTGATGTCAGTTGCTTACCAAAGACCTGCAATTGGTGAGAGGCCTCTCAGCCTTGAGGAGCACCCTTGAGGTGTCCCAGCTCCTGGGGAGGTCACAACCACACAGCCAGCTGCTTTAGCAGAGAGAGCTCCAAGAAGGAATAAAGAGGTTGGTTTACATGTGACAGCACAGGTATGTGTGAGACTCCTTGTACCCCCAAATTTCTTTGTTCCTTGATAAAGGAGTCATGGAAAAGCCACCTGCTATGATGTTTACCACATGATCAGTGTTGCAAGCTCATGCATCTCCTGGCTGTGGCTCTGCTCCTTCGGGGGTTTTCACAGAACAGGTTGGAACTAGAGCAGTTCTCTGCCTGCTTATGGCTCAGGCCTTTACCTCCTTTGGAGCCTGTACCAATCTTCCCCTGGTTTGGTTAAGGAATGGAGTGCATCTGTCACATTAGCCAGAGAGAAGGAATTTGTTTCATTTTCATCCCTCTCTTCAGGAAAGTTTCCCTGGTTTTATGACTTGATAAAAAAAAGCAGCTTTTCCCACAGAAGGCAGATGATTAAACAAACTTGTTACAATAACCCGTTTGAAGGAGGTTGTACCTAGCACAGCATCTGTAGAGTCAGGCACAACTCCTGCAGCTCAGGTCACACATCAGCAAATTGCCAACCCACTAGATCAGGGGAAGCTCAGAGGGTCATCAGCTGCCTCAGTCACATTGTACTGACTGGATGATGTCCTCGCCTCCAGGGGGTTAGTGTGCCCAGCATGGCCTCAGTTCAAACCCACTGCAGAGTTAATATTTACAATAAATGAGCAGAAGCCAAGCCCAGCTGGTATATTCCTACCTGGAAACTCCACATGAAGCAATCTCCTCCCTTTTTAGGTTGTTAGTCAGCAGTAGAAGTGACAGATCTTTCTCAAACCAGGTTGCCTTGTGTGATCTTTCCTCTTAATGCTGTTTCAGCTGCACCTTTTATGGGGCCAGCACAGATTATAAGAATCAAGTTTACCTGTAAAAATGCTACACAGAATGAATGTTTAATCCCTCCTTGCAGCAAACTGCCTGCAGGTCAGTGCCCATCACCGGCTCCAGCACTGCTGTGCTTGGAGCTGGCTGCTCCCTAATTAGCTCTTGCTGCAGAGTGGAACTGCTCCTCACCAGCTGCCTGGCTGAGGTGTTTACAGCCTCACTTCCTTTGGCTCTTGGCTTCAGGCAGGCCAGAGCAGAGCCTGTTATCAGAGCCCAGAAATAGCTTAGGCTCCAACCCTTCAGAAGTGTCTCTGGCACAGGGGGTGGCCTCTTTGTTTGAGTGATAAATACCACTGGGGACTTACACAGCAAAACCAGCCTGTGACCAGCTGGGCTCTGGGGGCTTTTTATCCTGTTATTCCTACGGAACACTGAGAGCAAAGTAATTCAGCAAGGTGCCTGGGGAAAAGGAACAGAAAAACCTGGAGCAGTTTTGTCTCTTCCAATCCATGTGCAGAATCTGTGCCTGCACATATTGACGTAAATCAGTTCCTACTGAGCAGTACCAAGTGTCACTTCTATTAACTGCAGCAGGACAAGGCTGTGGAGCTGGTGCTCAGTTTGAGCAAAGGATGCTGCAGAAGGCAGCATGATTTTTATTGTTACTCCATCTTGTTTCAAGGTGCCTTCAACTTCACCAAAATGTCCTAGTAATTTAAATATTGTTTCCAAGATCAGCCTGTTAATAGATGTTGAATTTGTTTTGATGCCTTCATAAATTATTCTAATATTACTGAAAAAAAAGTCTCGTGGGTGGTTTTTTGACCTTTTCCTATCAGCTAACACCCCCTGGGAATATGTCCACCTCATCAACAGACACTGCTCCAAGAAACTGGCATTGTGAGGCAGGAAACAAGGTAATTGTCCTCTGCTCCTCCCCAGACAGGAGCTGGACTATCCTGAAATGGTTGCGAGAGGAAAAAACCTGACAAAAGTAAATCTCACCTACCCTTCCCTTCAACTCCTGCTCCTACTGCTTGTGGGGCTCAGAACTGACTGAAAAGCTCACCCAGGGAATAAATAAAACTTCCTTTTGTGAGGCTTAACTCCCTGGCTGGGTGTGCTGCACAGCTCAGCAATGACTGCAACACCAGGGCTGCTGTTCCCAGAGGAACTGCATGGCCAGACTGGGACTGGATTAGGTTGTGTTTCAACTCCTACAGTGCAGGAGCATTTCCAAAACCCCACCTTTAGCCTTCTCTAACACATTCAAGACAAACATTTCACCTCTATCTCATTAAAATAATACAATTTAAAATTATTTCCCTTAAATCCACAGCTGCTCCTGGCAGTATAAGCCTCCTACCAACAAAAAGGAGTTGGGTCCATCTGTAAAAACATTCTAAAAACACCAGAGGAAGCAGCACTGCCTGAATACAAGCTTCTACATCCCTTCTCCCACAGCACCACCAGTGAGCCCAGTCAGAAGGATGCAGGCAGGATGTGCTCAGCATTAATTAAGCCTATTTACAGGCTGAGTAGCTTCTGTCACCTCCATAGAGCCAGGGACCAGGGGAGTGGATGCAGAAGAGCTCTATCCAGCTGTGGAGAGGCACCACACCTGCCTTAGAGGACAAAAATGAAGCAGCAGTGCTGCTGGGGGACAAACCCTGGACTTACCTTTGTGTAAAATTCTACTGCCCTGCATTTGCCAGGGAAAATCCAGCTCAGACTGGTCAGGGGACACTGCCTGGCCTGGCCTCTAGGGCAGCAGCTAGCGCCAAGGATCTCAGGGTTTGTGTTCTGTAAAAAACCAAAACAACCACATTTCATACTGGCAGAAGATGGGCTCTTTCTGGAGGCACAGCTGAGGATGCCTGGCCCCATTCCCACTCGATATTCCCACGTGGTGCAGCTGGTCCTGTGTGCTGGAACCGGAGCGTGGGAGCATCTGTGACACGTGTCTTTCCAGGGAACTCATACCAAGGGCTCTTGACTCCTTCTCACCAGTGTCCCTTTGATCACTCCTCTGTGACAACTGGATAAAAGCAAGTTCATCCCCAGTCCTTAAAGCCACTGGGAAATCCCAGCCAAGACCCACCCCCATGAGCCCAGGAGAAGTGTGCAGGCTTCCCCCTCACTCCAGCCAGGATTCCTGGCTGCCCTCATCTCATGCCCAAGCAGATGACCCTGGAGAGATGCCACATTCCTAAACCATATCCCTAAACCGTGGTGTTGCACCAGAATCAGATGGCTGCAGAGGGAGGACACTGTGACTGCTCCAGCCCCAGCCCTTTACCTCCAGTTCAGTGCACACACCTCCCCCCTGCACCCACACTGTCCATGGTCTCACTGCACATTAAAAAGCTACATTAAAAACTAAAACCAAACAACCCTCTCACCCTTTTCTTCTCCCTACAGGTTTTGCAGTTCACGCCTCACCAAGTGCCCTGTGACAGCTCATCAGCTGTTCTCACAGTGCTCTGCTGGCTCAGGGCTCCAAGGTTCTCAGCACCACATGTCACTCAAGATTGCAAGATTACAATACAAAAAAATACATCACATTTCAGAACCACACTATTTTAGGGCAAAGATCTACATCAGTTTCAAATAACAAGTCGAAGTAGAGGAAGATACTTTAAAAAGTTAGTAAAAAATAATTAAAGAGAAACTCATGCTCTTATTATGGGTCTTATGATGATTTTTCACTTAAAGGTGTGATATAGGATAGAACTTTTTTTGCAATGGATTAAAAAAACCCTCAGGTTTGAAGTCTTTGTGCATTCTGTGCAAACACCCAGAACAGCTTCTCAAAACTGTCCAACCAAAGCAGGATCTTGTGACCCACCAGAACAAGCAGTTGCTCCTCACATGCTGCCTCGCTGGCCACAGAGAAATCGGAAAACATTTTTGTAGCTGTAAAGAAATTTATTCAGGGATGAGACTTTTCACTACTAGAAGCCAGACTCTAAGCTGGCCCTCAGGACTCTAAATCACACTTTTCTTTGGACAATAAATTTCAAGGCGCACTTACTGTCCTATTTTTCAAAAAGGAATGATGATGACAAAAAATAAACAAAAAGAACTATTACCTAAATGCGTTAGTTTCAGCTGAAGCCATCTTCCATCAGAAACCATAGGATCTGATACAACAAAGTTCTCCCTAGGGATGTTGATGAGTAGAGTAGCTCAGTGCTTTGTGTACTAGTACTGCTGTGTTTTGTCTTGTATCAAAAAAAGAAAAAAAAAAAAAACAACAAACAAAAAAAGGAGTTGTTTAACTGCATGAGCAGCTCCCAGAGCACTGCCACACACCTCGCTGCTCGCCCAGAGTCAGCCTCTCTTCCCTTGGAAAATTAAAAATCAACCCCCCCAAAAAAAACCCATCACCAATGCCACGCTGGTTGAAAAGGCGCGAGTTCCTCCCAGGGGCTGGGGTCACTCCTTGGTGTCCTGCTCCTCTCCCTCCTGGGCCCCATCTTCACTGGCCTCCTTCTCCTCCTTGCTGCGCTTGTTCTTTTTGTGCTTGTGGCGCCGGTGACTCTCCCCCTCCTCGCTCTCGTGCTGCTTGCTGGGGTGGGGAAAAAAGGGAGAGGGGATGTCAGAGCCTGCACCAGCACAGCTGTGCCCCCGAGGAGCCCAAAACACAGGTGTGGAGACACAGCACTTTGATCTTGTATAGATAGGAGACAGAGCAGGCGTGCTGAGGGCACCACGGTGCCACTGTGTCCTGGTCTGCCGCAGAGAGGCTTCACCATGTCTCATTGGGACCACCCGATGGCACCAGTGCTGAGCCAAGGGCAGGCTGTGCCCCCTACTGGAGGTGGCTGCTGGAACCCACCTGCTCAAGGTGGGCAGCACACCAGTCAGGCTGCTGGTAGTACTTTTTGGGTAGTTTTAACAAGCAAAATCTGTGTCCTTTCCACACAGACTCTAAACATTTTGACACATCTCAAGCTTCAACATGAAGCTCCCAGGCTGTTGAGAGAAAGAAGAATCCTAAATCTGAGAGGGGTTTGAAACGTTCACTCTGAACATCTTGGGGAAATCCCAGGACTAGAAGAAAGCAAGCTAGAGAAACGTGGCTTTCCCTGAGGAAGGCAGATCTTGTTTCCACTTCTGCTTACTGAAACCTGGCATTTCACTAGCTTTGTGCTTTACAGCTCCTCTATCTCCTCACACAGAATTGCTTTCCAGATGCAGCTGGACAGCTCAGACACTTGTACAGGATTCCTGTGATATGTGAGAAATCCCAGCTAGAAGTAACTCTGACCAAGATTTGCCTCCGTCTCCCATCAGGACAAGTGGGAAGGTTGGAGCTCTGGTTCTTGGCCATTCCTGGGAGGAGATTTTCTGCTGCTTCTCAAACATGCAACTATTTCTCCTCATGGGTTGAAAACCAAGCGAGGTCTCTAGAGCTGACTGCGGTGTGAAGGTGGGAGAATTAAAACAGCACAGGAAAAAACAGATAAATGTATCAGAGGAAGACACATGGTCACACAGCACAGACACTGTGGCCACCCAGCCCTCTGAGGGGACAGGCAGGTGTAGAGAAAATTCCTACCACTGCTGGGATACCAGTTTAGCAGCAAAGACACCCAACTGGCTGAACCACTGAAGCTCTGCTGAAAAGCTCCTGGGTTTGAGTAATTTCCTGACTTGTCTAATAAACGGTTTCACAGTCATTAGAATGAAAAAAGGAAAAGGGCAATTGCCTCTCCTCAACACATCTCCAGCACCTTCTGGACAGACACGCAGCAGCAGCTTCTGCTTGAACAATACAACTGTCCTTTAAATTTAAACAAGCGTCAGTGATTTCCTCCAGACTGGTCAATCTGCAGCAAACTGAAAACTACAGGGAAACCCTTTCATCTTCCTGCAAACGCCTCCAACTGGCTCAAATGTCAAAGTGCCTCAAGCAGGGACTTTGGTATGCACTGGAAGTGGCCTTAAATGAGAAGTATTCCTCCATTTGCCTTAGCTAAGTAACACTCCCATCTTACCACTTGGAGCAAGACAGAGCATCTGCACGTGGCTTGAGGAGCAGAGGAAAAGTCACCTCATTCCCATCTCCTGCATTGTAAATTGAGCTCTTAAGCAGCCTCTGACACTGCTTTGGTGCATGCAGTCAGGTCTAACACCAGATTTCATTTCTGAGTAGAGGAAGCTGAGAAATAACCCTTAAATCTACTGGCTTGTCAGTCTGGTATCAGTTCAGCTTCCATTTGTTTTTTATTCAGTTTTGTTTATGGTCCTGGCCTTTCTTCCTAATCACTTGGCTTCCAACTTTTCAGCAATCAGCTCTTTCTGGAAAACTCATTAATCTCCTTAAGGATGAGAACAACCTTTTGCCTCCAGTCACAATGAAGGAGTTTTTCTGATACCAATTTCAAAATAAAGTAATGACCTACAGATGGATTTCACCTAGAAGAAGAAAGCTGAAGCACCAAAAAAACCCAAACAAGTCTGCTCAAGTCCTTGCCAGGATGTGAAATGCCAAAGCAACTGAGCACTGCCTCAGCCCAGAGACCAGGCCTGTCACTCTGCTAGAAGAATGCTCTCACAGGAAAATCATCTGTAGCAAATACGTTTTTTCCAGAAAAGCTGGAATTGAGAACATCCTGCTCTGCTCCAGAAGGGTTTCACCTTAGTCCAGATCATCATCAGCCCCACCAGCAGAAGCACTGGGCACAGCTCTGATCATGCAGTACTCAGCCTCCTGCTCCAAGAGGAAATTTCAGATTACAGGCTGAAGAAAGCACTTCTCTTCTGCACAAGAACACCTGCCACTGAAAGCTGATGCTTCTGTTGCAGTTTTGCATTTTACTTTGTGTGTACTTTTTAAACAGTAGCAGCAATGCTGCTCTGGAGCCATGTCTAGGACAGGTTAACCTCTCTTTTATTGGACAGTGCTGCAGTTTTGTTGGCAGTGGTCTGACACCCTGCCAGCTGCCTTACTGAGACCTTAGAAACACCAAGGACTCCTCTCCCCATGCCAGACCTGCCTCCTCCCAAGGTACATGCCCCAGAGCGCTCTCTGCCCAAGTGTCACCTCTCGGGACAGCAGCAGGTCACAGGAAGCCAGTATGACCCAGGGCAACGGTTCACTCAAGAGAACGTTCACCGGCTCCTCTGCAGCTGGGGTGTGTCCCCATCAACAGCCCAGACCAACCCGAGATAGCTCTCACCGTCTTGAAGACTTATGCTTGCTGCTCTCCTCTTTGTCCCTGTGCCTGCGCTCCCGGTGCCGATCCTCGCGCTCCCGGCTGCGGTCCCGGCTCCGGCGATAGTCGCGCTCAAAGTCATAGCTGCGCTCTCGGCTATAGTAGCGGTATCGTTCATCATCACTTGGGAAGAGAAAGGAAAAGTGAGGCAGAGGAACACACCCCAGAGTATCTGAAAGTCAGGAGCCACATTGACAGGACTGCAGAATCCCACCCTCGCCAACTAAATCTGTCGCTTCTTACTCTGTCATCGAGCTGAGGTATTTGTGATGCTCCTGAAAAAGCCTGCAGCAATTGGCTGCTGCTGCTGCTCCAACCCAAGCTGCAATCCAGTCCCGGCTTCTAACCACAGGCAAAGAACTTTCTCCATTTGCCTACTGCAGTTGAACATCGTGGCTTTCTCCTGGGTTCTCAAGACAAAAGTTTACAAAACTTGTTCTTGCATTGGCCAAGCGAGCACCTCAGCAGCAGGTGTGGGGCCAACACTTCACAGGTTTTCCCCTCACAATCCTTCCAGAATATGTCCAAGACATCCATCTACCTTGTTCAAAACCAACAGAAATATGCTCCTTTCATCATTCTGCCTCCCGTGCAGTTGGATTCTACCTCAGAGCACCCCAAATTCAGATATATCCCATACTCTTCCTTCTACATTTTGTAGTCTTTATTGAAGTTTTAAAAGGGTTAAGAAACCCCTCTGTGTGAAACAATATTCAGACTCTTCGAGAAAGGAAGCCTCAAACACTGTCCTAACACTCAGGGAAACAAGCCAGACAAATAAATGTCCAGTATCAATCACCTGAGAGGGCTCCAAAGGACTCCACTGAGCACAGCTACTTGCCCTGCTTTGGCAAGCATGATGTTGGAGGTCAGCACGCTTGAAAGCACACAGAAATGCTAACTATGTGCTCAGGAGTGCTGATCACAGGACATGGCTGCACCATGACCCTGCTCAGGAAGTGTGGGAGTCTGAGCTCTCCCAACTGCAGTGAGTTTGTCTTCTGTTCTGTTCTTTCCTCTTCCACCCACGGTGCCCACAAGCTTGTAAGTTATAAAAAAAAAAGATTAGGAAAACCCAGCCCTATTTGCTCAGCCCCTGGGCCAGGAAGTTCCCCAGCAGGCAGCACCCTTCTGCCAGGAATGCACCTTCTGATCATGTTTGGAATGGCTATTGGTATTGCTGAGTCTGAAGGCTGCTTGTGACAGAACAAAAAAGGGATGGATTTAGGAAGTCTTTGCAGCCTGACCTTAACTTTAGCTCTCTAGATCAACACTGGGAGGCTGAAAGCCTGCTTTCCCAAGTGCTCCCAGCATCGGTGTCACCTGAGATCACATCAGATCCCACCAAGGTGGTTGTCTCCAGGGCTGGTTGCCAAAAGGCCTGGTTAAGGATTTATATTCCATGGCTGACTCCTGGCAAATGGCACGTCCTTGCCCTGAAAGCCTCTGGAGGAGCTGAGCAAAGCAGGGTGGCTTTTCCTTTGATCTGACAGTTGTACTTAGAAGACAAGAAGCAGCAGCTTCTATAGCCAATGTTTCACTCTGAGCTGTGAAATACCTAGTAAACAGAGAAGGGCTATATCATTTACTGGTCTCACATTGCAGGTGAGAGAGCAAGTGTAACTGGTTCTGCTGGATTTAAACAAAAAAAAAACAGACACAGGAAATCAGGCAGTGACACTGGGCTCCTTGTTTGTCCTCTTGTTACTGATCCAATGTATCACTTCCCCAGACATTTCAGAAAATTACACTGGTACAATCTATAATCCCATCCCTCAAGGCCAGAGCTCCCTACTGGGCAGCTGGGAGCACTCACTTGTTGTATTCACTGGTGGTGGGAGTGCGGTCTCGGTCTCTCTCCCTCTCCCTTTCCCGCTCCCGCTCCCTCTCCCGCTCGCGCCTGGAGCCCGAGTACTCCCAATGGCTGCTGCTGGAACTGCTCGTGCTTTTGTCCACCGTGGTCACCCAGGGTGTATGGGATGTGGAGATGGGTGGGTAGCTGATGAAACCTGAATCTGCAGAGACAAGAGCAGAACCCTTGAGCATCTGAAGTATTAAGAGCATCCCCTCTGTCCCTCCCTTTCCAAAGACACCCTCTGGAGGTTCAGCTGAACCCAAGGAGACAACAGTGGCCCAGCTCCCTCCTGTCCTTGCCCTCCTTTTTTATTTTCAGCAGTTTTCTAATAACATGTGAACACCTCTTCCTTGAGGAAGATGCAAGCAAGACCAGGTATTTACAGATTTAGTTGCAAAATGGGAGAGGTTTAGTGGTGGCCTTGACAGTGCTGGGTTAATGGTTGGACTGGACGATCTCAAAGGAACTTTCCAACCCAAACGATTCTATGATTCTAAAGTCTCCCAGCCCCTTGCACACCATGTTACTGTACAGGGTGTGAATTCCCCCAGTTCTTGATCTCTATAGGTCCCTCTACAGGGCATGCTGTAAAGTCTCTGCTGCGAAAAGCTTCAATCCATCCCACCTGGACATCCTGGCTGCAGGGCTGGGACACCCCTTGCCAGCTGCTGAGCCTGCAGAGTATAGTTAGCTCCAGGCTCTTGGTCACCCTTGCAAGGTCTCCCTTCTCACCTGGTACCTTCTGACCTAGGCTGGTGGCCAGGGAGAGGCACCAGCTCTTGATGAGGGATGCCACCTGACAGGCCCAGAGCCACCAGCACTTCCCCATCCAGACGCTGGCCTGCTGGGCCCTGCTCAGCTGGACCAGTGAGGTCATGGTCCACAGCAGTACCAGGTGCTGAAAAGCTACTGCACATGTGACAGCACTTGAAGCTCCTGTTTCTCAGGAAGAGACAGTGTGGGGCTGCCTGTGACTCTGTTGGTATCAAGGAGGTGTCACTCCAAGTGCTGGTCACTAAGGAAACGGAGAGAATGTGGACACTGTTGGCAGGGCTGCAACAGGGAAGGAAAGGTGCCAAAATTCTGGCACTGCCTCTTCCATTACAAAACAAAAGGAGACAGATGCCTGCATGTGCCTGGAGGGAAGGAAGGTGATAAAGTGGGGGAGAAGGCCATTCAAAAGCACAGAAGGAGATGCAAAGCTGATGGTTGGGCTTGTCCCCGAGGGCTAAGGAAGAGAGTGTGAGCAAGAACATGTTGCACACAGGAGATGCTTCTCTGTTGCTGGGTATCTGCACTGAAAAGTGATGTGAGGCTTAGCACTCAGATACAAAACTGCCTTCACCACTGCTGCAAAACATTGAGCTTTCCAATACCTTATGGGGCAGTCAAACTCAGCATGTGTGGGATAGTCTGGGGCACGAGGAAGACCCTAAAGTTATAGCATGATGTTCATGAACTTAAAGCCTAAACTAACAAATTCAAGAGAACAGAGATAGAAGCAGTTTGACTGTGATTTTCCATGCTCACCTGCAGAATTGTAGCCAAATGGAGGAGGCTGCCTGTTGTTGTAGCTGGCTGGCTGGCTTTGGAGAGAGAGAAAACCAGGCACATTACTACCAGCAGTGACCCCTGCAGCTGTATCTGTGCTGCAACTTCACCCCAGCTTCTTCTGAGCCCTGCAGAACATCCCCACGGGAAACCTCATGGTTTCAGTCAGTCTTTCACTTTGCATTGCAAACCATCAGAAATGCCCACAAGTGCAGTTGCTTTGCCACAGCTTCTGAAACTGCTGTAACTCAGGTGCTTGCCCTGCCCTACCCCTCCCTTCTGCACATCTGACAAGCTTCCTGGGAAATAACCAGTGCTTGCAAAGTACCTGGAGAATCTGTCTAGAAAACATCTGGAGTAACATAACATGCTATCAACCATTCTGTGCTAGACCTAAGCCCACACACAGATTTTACTGACTCCTTCCAGTGCCATGAAGATGACAAATCGAAGCAAACACACAGAGAATTCCCTACAGACTCAGCTCTGCCTCCCCCACCCCAATCCAAGGCCAGACTAAGAAGGACTACCCCTGATTCCAGACCTGTGCTCCTCCCTCCCTCACTATGGAGCAGCTGTACTAATGGCTCAGCCCAGGTGTGGTCTTACCCATCCAAGGTTGGAATGAGGAGAGCTGGTGGTGGCGCCAGAGGAGGCGGGAACAACCCTAGACACAGAAGCAGAAGTCATCACCAAGACCTCACAGCTTGCCATGAGGGAACAAGACTTCATTGCTGTTTACAGTTCAAAGCAGTTGAAGCATCTTTTTACTCTAAACAAGGCCCTGTTTGAAATGGAGTAATTTTCCTTCAGGGTTGTATCTCCTACCAAAATTAAAATCCTACAGCTGTGTTAGTTCTGAAGGGGTATGGAAGGAAAAATAAAAGAAGAACTACCTTCTATTTTGGCTTATTCATCTCAAACATAAGATTTGTTAAGGGGTAAACATTAACCCTTACAGTCCTGTGGAAGACAGAAAAGTCTGGTTCTTGGGATGCAGACGTGTTGCAACCCTACAGCAAGAAGAAACTCAGTTTTATAGTAGCTCTGAATTAGTGGGATTTAATGCACAAGATTGGTTGTTGCATCTTTATCAGTCTCCACCATCTCTGCTGCACACCAGGGAGCAAAGGCTTCTGATGGAAATGGCATTTGTTCTGCTTAAGTCTCACACTCCCAAATTCCTACACAAAGCACCAATTTGTCACTCAGACTTCTGCTGTGCAAATGCTGTAAGAAGAAATAAACCACTTCAAATCTAACTAAATGGCTTTTGCCATCTGAAGTTTTCTGCTTCACTTTCTAGATTGGTCTTCAGAGACATGAGATAGTATTAAGAAGCCCTACAGATTATTATTTAGGTCCAAAATATTAGATAAGCAGCTGGTGTTCAATGCTGCATTAGTTTATTAGCCTTAAATTAACTGTGCTCTAAAATGAGTCTTGGTGTCACCCTGTGTCACTTAATCCAAGTGCTCAGATGGGGCCACCTGTGTGTTCAGAATCACTGTCATTAAGAAGAGCAAGTTAACACCTACCTGGGATGGGACCTGGTGGAGGCAGACCTAGGGAAACAAACCAGCAAAACCAGTGAGGACAACAGGTAAAGCCTCTCACCTCTGCAGCTCAAGCTAAAACTAAAAGGACACTTCTGAATACACTTCATGTATTTAACCAAACAGGCTAACAGAATAATTGGTGCTATTAAGAACTAACTTGCCTATATACTATTTAATTTTCCTAAATCATTATTTCTTTACCTTTATGTTAAAATTTAAATGTTGCTGCTGTCTTACACTGAAGAATTTCTAAGTGTCAACACACATTATTTGAGCAGTTGGTACAATAAAATGCACAAGAACAAATACAGAAAAACGCAAATCTTGGTATTTCAAGGCAGAAACTAACCAAAAACTGACCTGCATTAGGAGGAAAGTTGTTACAGCTGCTGCTGCTGCAGAATTACCAATTCCAGCATCACCCTTGAGACATTTGGAATGGGTCACAGCCAGACAGGATTCTGAACTGACCAGCCTGATCTGACACAGGACAGCAATTCCTATCTTCTTAGCTCCTTTCACAGATAAAGAGGAACCCATTTCTTTATATTTCTCAATAAAGCAAATGGATCAGCAGCACCCAAAGGCTCTCTCATGCAAACAAAGCCTAGAATTTCCTTCAAGGAACGGCTGCCACTTCTTAAGTGTTCAAGAGCAAATGCTGAAGAGACTGATGGAGAAACTGAACAAAGACTGGCCAGGTCTAAGAACCTGATTCCTCAACTGTTCCATAGCATTTAACCATTAAGCTTTGGATGTGCTCCAAACTTAGGGCTGGTTGGAAGCTCCAAGACTCAAACTGCCACAACTGCTGTGTGAACACCTACCTGGAGGATGCAGGGGAGGTGGAACCGAAGTAACAGGAGGAGGAGGGTGGAGGAAGTGTGGTGGAGGTGGCCCAGCGAGTGGGGGTGGTGGTGGACCTGCTGGTGGTGCAAACGGCTGCTGCTGAGGTGGTTGCTGGGGCTGTGATGGCTGCTGGGGCTGCTGGGGGGGCTGGGGCTTGCTCCCGTGGTCTCCAAGGACCTTAGAAGACAGAGGAATTACAAGAGAGTATTTTAAATCTCTTTGGTCCTGCATTTAGGAACACACTGTGCTGGAATAAAGGGAGAACATCACCAGAAGAGGCAGCACTGTAACATTCGGGAGACCAGGCTGTCTTGTACCCAGGGGATAACACCTTTTGGGGAGGAAGGAGTGCTGATCAGAGCAGTCATTATGCTCAGCAAGGTATCTCCTCTTCCACACAACAGCAGCAAGGCTAGACTCTAGCTTTACACACAACTGTGCCAGACATATCAGGGCTATGAACACATTTTCTTCACAGGAACTGCCACTGAGACAGGCTTCAGATCAGAAGCTGCCAGCCATACCGGAGGGTGACACAGTGATGCTCCCTTCTTTTTTAATTTTTGTAACAAAATGTATCTTTCCTGAGGGCAGCAAGAGGCCAAATTCTGCTCTAGATGGTGCCCACATAGACCAAAGATGACTGAAATCTCATCTGTCTGACAAATGCAGGTCCCACACCCACTACTGCAGAAGGAATGATCAATATGCAGATATCAGAATGACCTGGAAATACAGGTATCAGTGCTTGAAAGGGGGAGGAATAACAACCATTTCCCACAAAATTCTCTCTTTTAGACAAACTCTGTTTTTAGTTATTAGTCAATTTGGAAAATTGACCATTAAAAAAAATAGACCACAAAAATGCATTTAAAAACAAAACCAGGAATTGTGTCTAGACAGGGGAAAGGCTTCATATTTGGGGTTTTTTTTGTGAGTTAGAAGTGGCTGGTAGGAGGAAAGTGGTTAAGAGAGAAGAGTTCTCTGTCCTCAAAGCCTACACTTGCACCCTCCCCTACTTAGAAGCCAACAAGAACTTTATGGTCAGATACTGGAGACACAAGATCAGAACTGAGCCCAGTTTTCAAACCAAGGCTTTTATTTCTTATCAAGGGCCAAGACCCAGAAATACAGGCCCGCTCAAACCTGGACGGTGGGCTGCATCTAATGATGCTCAGACTAAATGTTCCTTCAGAGTAAAAAGGAACACAAGCCCCTAGTCAAATTCCTCCACTGCAGAACTGTAGACTCCAACCTGACAGTGGAGAAATGAATAATCCACATAGGAGCCTCCCAGCTACATGCCCTGAGGAACACTTGGGAGAGGTGATGAGAAAAGGAACTTGGACCTTACCATTCAGATGAGAAGGCCAGTCTTTAAAGGACAATCCCTAGCTCCTAGAAAGGTAAAGTTTTAACACACAACGAATTCAATTTGCAGAAAGGAATGATACATGCATGTGTCTTGATAGGGTTGCTACGCTACCTACTGCTTTGCAGATAGAAACTGACAGAGGAGGCCTGGAATGCAGATATTTGCTCAGGGTTCACTAGAAGTGCATTAAAACCAGAAATGTGCCAAGATGGCACAAAACATGTACCTGGATTGGGTTTTCCTCAGAGGCATGCTTATCACGGCGTCTTCCTTCTACCCTCCTAATGGTGCCTGCCTGGCCACCAATCACATCAATCGTCCCACCCAGCTTCCTGGTACAAAGCAGATGCATCTTTTTAGGCTCAAAGACATGAGAAGCAGCAGTTTTCCCCTCTATTACAGAGACTTCTCTTGTACATTCTTCTCCACCCAGGAAATATGTCTAGAAGCAGCACTCAGATTGGACAAGAGGGGAATGAGAAGTCCTTTTTCACCTTGTAGCGGTTTGAGCTCTGCCAGGAGGGCTGAGTTGTGTCTCTGAACACCCGTAACATGATCCAAAGCACCACAATACATGGGTGTAATAACACGGACTGCACACCTTGGTTCAGAGCTGGAATCCTTTACACACTCTCCAGATTTGAACAATCATTCCAGATCAAATACCTCATGAGACACATGTAATAGCTGGAAACAAACCAGACTGATTTGAGCAGGCTGAGTAGAGCTTTACAGCTTATACTGATAGTTGATTGTCTCCACAGACAAAGTGGGAAGCTGGAATACCTGACTGATTTCTGCAAGACAGGTATGCCAAGGATGCAATGTGAACACAGCAACAGAAACACCCAGAGCCCAGTGCTCTGGCTCTTCTGGTTTCACATAGCTCTGTTATTCTAAAGCTTTTGATAAAAAAACCCATGAACCTCTTAAGGTCCAAGTGGTTTCCCCAGCAGAGGCTGCCAATCAAAATTACTCAATTGTTTTGCTTTGTCCAGCCTTGTGGTTCCTTTCTCCCACTGGAGAAAACAACTAATTAGCAGGCATCAAGCAGCGCCACACACAGGTTCAGAAACCAACAGCTCCTCTTATCAGCTGCCAAACATGTAACCCGCTTCCACTTAAGGAGGCAAAATTAGCATAGTGGGAGTAAGTCAAGTAAGCACCAGCCAGCACTGTAGGCCTTCAAAGCCCAAGTATTTGTGTTCTTTTTTCTGCTCCCAGAAATGTGTCCCTTCAGCTGGGCTCTGGGTGCCCTCCCTGGGCTCTGGGTGCCCTCCCTGCACAACACCAGACTGAGGAGATCACCCAGGAGAGGGCAATGGGCTGGCAAGGGTTGCCCAAACCTCAGGAGAACACTGCTGGAGACAACAGTTAATGAGTGACCACAGGAGCTTCCTGTAAAGTTTCAAAGCTTCTGTTTCAGGCTTGAGGAGATTCCATGGCCCAGGTGGATCCCAGCTCCCCCCCATGAAGAACATGGTGCACCCAGGCTTTATGTCTGCATCATCTCTCACCTATTAGGAGGAGGTCCAGCCTTCATGCGTCCTCCCACCAGAGCCAAGAAGTCTGTTTTGAATTCTGTTTTGATGATGTTGTTTTCCACTTCTTTTTCAGCATTTCCTGTTCTTCCTTGCTGAACCTATGGAAGGCAGTATGCAACACACAGGTTGAATGCTCTTACTTTCAACCAAATGTAGCATCCGAGATTAACTCTCAGCAAAGGAAAAGGGCTCTTTGAGGAACAATCACAGGACTCCTGCAAACAAGCAACCTATTCTTCAGCCAAGGCAGCAGACATTTCTGTGAACTAGCTGGCTATTCCAGCCTCAGCCTGCTGTCCACTGTCTCCCAATGAAAGTCCAAAAGTTTAATAATCTCATATCCTTAAGCATCAAAGTCAACTGGAAATCCCTCAAGTCTTGCTGCTGCAGTGGCTCAAACCTGCCAGGCAGCTGGAACTGTTTGTTCCACAGAGAAAAGATCTTTAGCAAAGAAATTTAATCTTTAAGATAGTTTCGTATTTCTCATCACTGAAAGGAACGTAGAACAGTTAAGTATTAAGGCATCTTCTGCTTTTATCTCTCATCTCTGTGATTACAAAAACAAGTCCCAGTTTCCTTGTAGCATTTGCAGGAGTAACACGTCACCTACCGTGATCTTATTTTCAGTGCTGATGGGAGGAGTAGGATCCAGCCCAAGCTGAAGCCGTCGCTGCTTTTCACAATAAGCTTTCCATGTTTCTTCATTGAATCCATAATTAAAGTAATCAGAAAGATCAGCACCTGACAAAGAGCAGAAGTCAACACAGGGATTCTAGTCGACTTGAATTCTCCAATTGTCCTTTAACTGCTTAAATGAAGAGTAAAGCAAACAAAAACCTTGCAGAGAGCACAGCTTACTCTTAATTCATCCTGTAACAAAGCCACTGTGTGCCCCAGTGGAAATGGCTGTGCCTGCAGGTGGGAGGGGAACTACAGCCTGAACAGCATTGGGACCATTTGGGACACAGAATACAACCCATATATAGGCTATTAACAGAGATGTTTGCAATCACTTACTCACCTACTGGAGTATCCCAGACTGATTTCTTGCAATTGTGCAGAAGAGTTGAATGCTGGGAAGGGCATGGGGGGATGATGGTTCCAGCCACCACCACAAAAATGGGATGGTGCCACAGAACCTTTTTCTTGGCACAGCTAAGCTAGCATGTTCTGCTCCTGACCACCCCTGCCTTTGCTGTTTTGAGAAGAGATTCTGGAAATTATCCACTTCATGAAACAGGGCTAAAGTGGAAGGTTTTTTTATTGATACATCTCAGACTACACAAACAATTACAATTCAGTCATGATCCTAACTACAGCCTTCCAAGATGGTTATCTTACTTTGACAGTCTTCTGTGAAATGTGCCAATTCAGCATGCACCCTTCTGAGTAAGAGAGGTGGCCACAAATTGCTTGCAAGAAAATATAGATGCAGAGCAACAGTCAGAGCTGCAACTACCTTTGTAAGGTGTACCTCACAACAGGAAGCAGTGCAAAGCATCTCCCAGCCCAGCTGAGATGTCCCTCAGACATCCCTTGCAAAAGTATTCCTAGACAGGCCAATTCTAAAACAAGGAGCTGATACATAAGGGCTAAGCACCACTCTTTGACCATGCTGAGCTTGGAACTGTACAGCGAGGTTTATCTTCTAGGTAGGTCACTCCTCCTGTTGCACCACCCAAAGATGCAAATTTTACCAACACAAGACTCAGTAACATGACATTTACTTATCTATTTTATCAGCTTGTATTTCAGCCCTCTATCAGTTCTTCCACACACTTCTTCCTTCCCCTCATTTAAAGAGATTTCAACTTGCTCAACAATTACCTGTAAAGGATACAAACCTGAAAGGCTGTTGAGCAACAAGCTACTTGCCATCTAAAATAAACTTCCAGGCTGCACCTGTGCAGATATCTTCCCCCTATTTGTACTTCAACACTGGTTTAAGGCCAGCTGGCTTCACTGTGGGCCAGGGATGTCAGATGTCAGCATGGCCACAATGACTGCCACGCTTTATCTCTGAACTTCTTTGTTTTCCTTCTTAGTTTCTTCCTAGCCCCCTCTTTCTCACTTCGCAACCAACAGGAACCCCCCTGCAGAATAAAGGCTACCTTTTCTAGTCTGTCTGTACTAGCTTCTGTTCATCAGAGTGCTGGTTACTTAGCTTACTTGCCAAGTTACTTGCTGCTTCCTTAGCATAGCAATATTTCTGAAAGATAAATAAAATACAGGGGCTGTTGGGGAAAAGAATTATTTCTGAGAAGAGTCAAGTGGATTTTTTTACTTCAGTTAACGTTTCATCTTAGTATGTTTTATGAAAGTAGCACAAGAAAACTCCGGATCTCTTTCATTGCTTCAACTACTTTTGTATCAAATTCAGATGAAAACCACAAGTTTATTGGTACCATCCTAATTCTAGTGTGATCAATCAGTACATGTCACTGACTGTCTAGACAGGCATCAGAGGCTGAGCAATATGCATTGTTCCAACTTCCCTGCTCCCCAGCAGCAATAAACAGACAGAAATTACAAGTGAAATTAAGGAGACAACTAAAACTGCAGAAAGTATTTACCACAAGAAACTGTAAGGCCCCACCTGGTTTCCTCCATGGTTTGTCTTCAAATGAATCTAAATCCACTTCTATAACAGGCAATCCATTTATATTCCCTGCAGCATCTAAGTCAATACCTTTGGGCTGCAACTTGGCTTTGGAGAGAGAGAAACTGTTACTACATTTAATGCAGTGTCTTCAAGCCCCTCATTTGCTGAGAAAATTACTCCAATCAAAAATAAAGTGCTGCTGTGAATTCATTGCTGGCTTTATAGCATATAGGTAACCACAATCAACTTTTAAAATGAAAAGTACTTCAGTCACTCTATAAATAGTTAGCCAGGATATACAGTCGAACAGCAGAGAAGCAAATTCAACTTAGACTGGTGTTACAAGCAGAGTAAAGTATTAGAGCACACACAAAATTTATCCCAAATGAAAAAAAAAATATTTTTCTCCCCCAGCAAAATATTTAGTTTTCCCTTCCAAGATCCACACATTTTCTCATAACAAAAGACACTTTTCGCATCAGTTTTAAGCAGCCTGTGCCCTAACTGGAAGCAGCAAAAATCTGTTGGGTACAGAATCTTAAAAGGGGCATATATTCTTATTTTTCTCAATCAGAAGGTAAGTCATTTGCATTAATGAAATGGAATTAATTAAAACCCATGAAAGGACAGTCTCACTTATGAGGAAGGACACAATCCAAGTCTCAATATACAGTATAAACAGTGGGGAAAATTTCATATGCAACAATATGCACAGCTGAGACTCAAGGTCAGGCTTTGTTTCTTTTAGTATTTTACACTGCAAGTAGCTCAGTCTCCTGACAAGAAAAGTTCTTCCCCAGGCAATTTAGAATGTTTGGCACCAGTGCAACAATATAGTTTAGAAATATTCTGGTTTTTTACCATAAAAAGTAACTATCAATGTATTTTCTTTCAAGTTAAATACAATTATAACCAGCTTGTTCAATGATGGGAAATGAACACATTCCACTGCACCCTGGACCCTCAGACTGTCCTGGAGTATTTCTCTTTAGGAAACACTCTATTCCTAGTTGAAATAAGTTGCACTGATTTTATATCCTTCCAAAAAGAGATCAAGATGTGCAACTGCTCCAGCTGTCAGTGCCAGATAAGTGAAATAGTGCAAAAAGTGAAGGATAAAAACAAGAGCAATACCTGAAGCAGATGCTCCATAGCCTCTACCCGTTTTTAAGTTTAGATTCATAGGAGTTCCCCTATATGAAAAAGAATCACTACGTTGGTATTTGAACAAATTACTTGGCTGAAGATTTTAATGCAAAACATACTCAAGCCCTGACATCCTTCAGAAGATTATTAGTTGACTTGTGTTTTTTCATGCCTCTCTAACATTCTCAGTACTGTCTCAACACCTTAAAAATGAGACTCATTTGCCATGTGAAGTCTCTCTAACCCAGCAAACATCCTTACTGCCTGACAGCAGAGCACAAGAAGATTGTTTTTGACATGAAGGGAAAGGTTATCTCAAAGACTGTTAGTTACCATTCTGCCCAGGAACATACTTTGTACTTAAATGGAACTGAACAGGGAAATCACGGCAGCACACAGATCATGGAATGAGGAGGGAAAGGTAGAAGCAGATTTCAAAAAGGATGTCTGTACATCCAAGTGAGCTGCTACCAGATGGAGCATTGCTGTTCAGAGTAATCCATCAGACTGAAACCAGCTCTACAACAAGAGAAGGAAATTATCCATAAAGTGGAAAAAAAAATAATATGCTGCGAGGTACATTTAAGTACATTTCCTTCAGAGGCAGGCTGCTAGCAGCAGGTAAAAATGCGGTCTTGTTATTTTTATTCAATGCAAATCAGGTAGTGACATAATTTCCTGGTTTGCAAATCCAGCCTCACCATTTCTGAATCATAAAAAACCAGAGAGCTGAAAATTAGTAAATTCACAGCTTATGCAAGTTCTTATCAATACAGACTTCGGTTCTTGAAGTTTTCACAGATAATGAGTTAAACTTTCCACCTTTGATTCTGCCCAATGAATCACAGAAATTACTTGGTTAAGTTTCCAACAGCAGACCCACGAATTGTCACTCATATTTTATAGATGGATTCTCCCACAAGCAATTGCAGGACAGAGCTGCGCATCAGCTTCCAATCCCATTCCAGCCACGTCTCCCAGAAGACAGATCAGCTCTCACTCTCACTTTTACTGCCAATCAACATTCAGAGCTACCCCAGATCAAATATCAACACCAACGTCAGCAGCACATACATGTATGATGGTGCTCCTGTTTTAATGTTGCCAATAGTGACTTTCACGTCATCGTCATCACTGTCGCTATCACTGTCATCTTCATCATCTTCACCACTTGGAAGGGCCTAGCAACAATACAAGCACACAGGAACTCATTAATACATAAAACTGACAACTTCCCCAGGACAGTAAGTCACACTTTACAAAGCCTGCATGATGAAGAACTACTGGAAATAATTATTCTGACATGAAGACATAACTTTCTACCACACACCAGGGCTATACAAAGTTGTCTCTGGGGGCAAAAGCAAAATTAGGTGGCTTTCAACATCAATGTGGATAGGTGCCCAAAAAGAAACTGTGTCCTCTGAAGAAGAGACCCTACATAAGGAGATTTCTGAAGGTGGGGAAGCTTTAGGTCAGTTCTAAGAACTTCAACACATCCTACAGTTCCTTTCCTCAGCTCTTTTCTGATACATCTCTCTCACAGGGCCTTGGTGACAGTACACAAATAAAAAGCACCAAAATACATTCACCAGGCTTCACCTAAACCTTGGAACAAATATTGTCTCACCACAACTTTGGTGTTAGGAAGCTGCTGAAGCTTATTTAGCATAATCAGTCTCCAAGTCACTTAACTTCACATGAGGACTTTACAGCTGCCAACTCAGCTCCAGTGCAGCACCACTGCTGGGGCACAGCAGCAAAGGGAGTCTTCCCGACATCCAGCCATGCAGTTCTGCAAGATGCACACGCTAAACCAATACCACATGTATGTGATGTACCACAGTGGCAGAAAATAAACCCATCAAAAAGAATAGAGGAAGAGGAGGTGAAGAAGCAAGATCTCTACTTTCAGCACTGAGCCACTAGACTGCATTCTAAGAGGCCTGAGGCTGAATCAAAACTGATTCCCAGCACTCTGGGCTTTCTATCCCAGTGTTTCCCATATTTAACTGACCCTCAAGAAGTCACACTAAATACTGAGCTAGAGGTAAGGTCATGTTGTGCTCTTCCTGTCAGACCACTGCACCTGATCAGTGGACATAAGCAATACTGAGATCAGGGTTCACTACCCACTGCACAAGGCAGGCTGAGAGCAGAAGCCTGTTGCTGTCATTAGCACTGGAACTGACTACCAGGACACTCTTCCAGTACAAACGCAACATATTAAGTAGTACCAACATCTTCATACTTTTATCTTTTTACCCATGAGTATTGAGAAGCACAAAAATAAGCATGTCTACCATTTGCAGTGGAAGACTTACGTGCTGTGACATCTCTCGGTCTTCATTGTTGACAGGTCGGTTCTCCTGAGGAGCATCTTGCAAAGGATGAGAAGATTCTGCATGTCTAGTAAATGTGAGAGATAAAAGAAAGTGGACAAGCCCAATATAGAGGTTCACCTACAAACATTTCTAAAACACTTCTCCAGGTGATTTTCATATAATGGCTTTATTCAGTAGTGTGTTTATTCTGCTGGCAGTTAGCTCAATTATGCAACAAGAAAATTATTCATCCTTGCTTGGCTTTGCTTTTGTTGGAAAGATTCAGTTGAGCCCGTTCAAAGGGGGCCTGACAGCCAGCACAGCTGCCTCACCAAACACCACTCAACTCCTAATATGTAAGTGGCAGCTACAACAGCTTTGATTCAGCACAATCATAACTGATGGGAATGGGACCATAATAAGCAAAACTTCACCTTGTCCTTTGGGATGCTAATAACTGTGAATACACTCAGCAAGCAGCAAGGACACCTGTCTTGTAGAAATTAAGGGAGAAGTGATTTTATTGTTTCTACAAATAGCTTGCATTAATGAGTAGTTAAAATTCAAAGAAGACAAGACAGATAATTATCCACCCAATCTTCTCAATCATTGCAAATTGGTCCTAATGCAACAACAGCCAGGTTCAGATTTACCTCCAATTAAAGAGCTTGTGCAAATGTCAATATTGCTTACTGCATTTGCCAAGCAAGTCAAATTGGTATACACATGCTAGAAAAGAGTATGCCAAGTGTTACAAAACTAAAATATAAAGAGAGACCATTTTTCTCACAGGTGAAACCTAGCAGAACTTCAAAATAATTCCGGCTTTTCAAAAGACACAATAGCCCAGGTCTCCACTTGTACTTTGTGAAGATGCTGCTATTAATTTAAAACCCCATAATAATAAACACACACAAAATAATCTTCAAAAAGAAACATAAATAACATTTAACAGAATCCAAACACTGGTCAGATTAAAGCCATTTCAGAAGCAGCAGGAAAGGAGACACCAAACAATGGAGCCAAAAGATCACACTAATGCAACTCCAGAAGCAGCTATTGAGCATAAAAAAATAACAAATGAACAATCTGAGCAATTACTGAAGCTCCTATATTAGAAAAGCCCCAAATACAAAGAAATCCAACAATCAAGCCAAGAACAAAAAGGGATAAAGGTTCAGCAAGGAAAGGAGACACCAAACAATGGAGCCAAAAGATCACACTAATGCAACTCCAGAAGCAGCTATTGAGCATAAAAAAATAACAAATGAACAATCTGAGCAATTACTGAAGCTCCTATATTAGAAAAGCCCCAAATACAAAGAAATCCAACAATCAAGCCAAGAACAAAAAGGGATAAAGTTTCAGCAGCTAACCAAGGAAGCACAGGTCCCATTTTCACCAAGTTCCTGAGGTGACAGCTGAAGACACTTCAAATTATAAAAAGTAGCCAAGATGCCTAAGGGAAAATCAGCCTCTAAAAATATTTCAAAGTTACAGACACAGGCTAATACATAAGGCACACAAGATGAACAACTGGAGACAATCTCACAGGTGGCTCCAAAACCTTTTGCATTTTGTTTGCCAAATTCAAGCATCTTGTAACATTGACCTCAACCCCGGAATTTTCTTTAAAATCCAGGATGACTGAATTAAGGAAGAGTGACAAGTACTACCTTCACCTTCAAGTCACATGAAGTATCTGTGGGTGTGCATTAAAATTTATAAATTGGGAGTTCAAACAAACATTTGCTAAGTAACAGTCTTTCCTAACCTGTTTGCTTCCCAGGAATGAAGGAGCTGACAGGCCCACAGCAATCACCTGCATGAACAAATATGTGACAGCTACTTCACTTTCCCCAGAATGCCACCAGAACCCCACGCATTGCTGATGTTACAGCATCCTGCACAGACTGCTGGCATTTCATACATACTGTAGACTAAGGAATGTTCATGGATACTGCATCCAAAACTAGACTGATTCTGCTTCATGGGTAGAGACAAATACTCTGGACAAGCCAGCAATGTAACCCTGGAGCTGCAGCTGTTGACAACACAGCAAACAAAGAGTAATTTTTCTTAAAACACTCCACAGCTCTTCATTCAGGAACATTCTCATTGTGCAACAAAGAGGAAAAAAAAAAAAAAAGAGGGTGGGGGGGGGAAGAGAGCTAGCATGACCATTAATACTCTTCAAGCATCCTGCAGTTATTGGAGACAGTTGCTGGAAACTCAGCTCTGTTAACCCCGCTTATAAAGCAAAATTACAATCAGATGGAAGTGACAAGGAACAATAGATTCATGCAAACGAGCCATACAGTTCTTTCTGAAATAGAAGTTGCTTCTTCTCACAAGGCTCATATGATATTTTGAGGTAACAATCTACCAAGTTTGCCTAAAACTTGTTTTTCATTGAGTTTTCACATTCCCTAAGCACAGGATACTTACTACAGAAGTAGGACAGTATCCATAACAAGCTCAGATATTCTAGACATTGAATTCACAATGACCTAAAGGACAATAAACACTGAAGTAAACTTTTGAAGGTGCTGAGCAGCGAAGATCAAGTCTTCTGAAAACCAGGTTACATTTTAAAATGGCAAACAAGTAACACTTCTGCTGAGAGAAAACTCTGCTGGTGGAAAACACACGACTACAAATACAGGGGAGTTATGATCAAGAATAGATACTACTTTCCATACACAAAAAGCAAAACTCATCACTGAGTAATCTCCAGTGATTTTTTTTCTCAAAGTTTTACCCAAATCACATACTTCTTAGATCTCTCATAACTTGTTGATTTGATCACATCAAAATTTTAACCAAAGCCCAAAGTTTTTAGCTTTTCCAGGTTAAAACACAGGCCACAGTTTTACCAATGCCAGGCCAGCACAAAGACCAGTTCTCAAGGCTTTATCTTTTCCCAGGGAATTAAACTGGAAAATAGATCCAATTTAAAACTAATAAAAAACTGATTCCAAATTCATAAACACTTTGCCAAAGCATGATGGCATAGTATGGGACAAGAACAGGCTGCTATTTTTGGTCTATACCACTAACTGAAACTGTACTTAACATGGCTTGACCTTCTCTGCAGCATATATTGTCATAATTAATAACCAGCCTCTGGACTCACCCAGAAATTGGTCCATCTTCTTGTTTACCAGTGGTGTCATCTGCAACAACAAAAAAATAATAGTGATGAAAAATATCCAAGAAAAAAAAACAACACACCAAAACTTAAGCACAAAATGTGTCATGGCTACAGAAACACCCAGTAGTGCCAAGGTGCTTTAAGATGAGTATTCTTTTCCCAACAAAGTTCAACTAGAAATGGGGCAACTAAAAAAAACAACTCAAGAAACAAAACCTCTCTGCAGAAGTGAAGCCTCACACCATTGACACAGAACAAAATTGAAAATACATCCCCAAAGTTTCCCAGTAAAAGGAGCAAAGGCAAACATCACGTTAGGAACTTAAGTCAGCTGTGAAGGTCTTTACATAGACCTTTAACATACCACGGAAGAAGAAACATAAAAGGATTCATTTGGAAAGCCGACAAGGACAAAGAGGTCTAAATAAAGTCCTGCACTCTCCCAGGCACACATAAACACACCGGTCCCCTGTTAGCAGGGCCTCCCTGCATCCATCAGCTTAATGAGATTTGGATGATCAAGAAATCGAAACAAAGCATCACGTTAGCCTCTCTGCATCACGGTGCTGTTGTTGGGAAGACAATAACCCACCCCCAAACAGCCTCTGAAGCCCCTGCCCGCAGGGGGAAGCTGGCTCAGGGGGCTGCCCACCCCGGGGGGGATCCCCCGGGCCCCTCCCCAGCCCGGGGCGGCCCCTGAGGCGGGGGATGCCCTGGGGGCGCGGGTGCTCGGTGTTGCGGTACTTACCCCCGTAGAGCCAGTGCTCCTCGTCCTCCTCCGCCTCCAGCGCC